TCATGATTTGCTTAACCACCTACTGAATCCACATAAACCCCTGACTGTGCACATTTTCCTGTTTAGAGGCAAAGTCTCCCTCTACAATGTAGCAACAGAAAATATAGTCCTTTGTGTTCCTTCTTTTTCTCTGCTCATGTTCTAATTAACTCAATCAAGCTGAGTACACTTATTAGAATAATTAAAATAAAGTTTGCATTTCCATCTGTTAATATTATTTATTATCACATTAATGTGGGACAAGGCTCAGGTTGCTTTGCATAACTGCTCGTAGCAAGAAAGTAAAAGGAGCTACTTTTACTTTCTTACTGTCGGTGTTCCTGGGTCATTGACCCAGTGTTCTCAGTTTTGGACTTTGTCACTGTTTAGTTTTCACGTTTTTCTCTTTTAGTATGTAATCCTCAGTGTGTGTGCATTATTTTCTGTTCCACTTCCTGTGTGTGATGAGTCAGATTCAGTGCAGCTGTGTTCTTACCTGTTTTTAATCATAATCATTATCCATTATTATCCACTGAGTATTTGAGAACTCACTTTTCCTCAGTTGCTTGACTTGTCATCGTCAATCCCAGGTGTGTGTTTTTAGTTCCGCCAGCCCTTCAGTCTATCAGTTCATCTCATGTTGTATCCATTCTGCCTTTATAATAAATATAAAAATATGGCTGTGGACAATGTTTATTAATAATAATAAAGATCGTCCACATCCTTCACCAACCCGTGAGCCCTGCCCTCTCTTCTCTCGCTCCACACAGCGACCGCCTGACACTTACTTTGAGTACATTTCAGAACCTCTATTTCTTTTACTTTTACTTGAGTAAAGAAGTTGAATCAGTACTTTTATTAGAGTATTTTTTTAAAAACTAGCATCTGTACTTCTACTTAAGTAAAGAATGTCTGTTTATGCCACCTCTTCTTGCTGGTGTCAAAGGGTATAATGGCAAGGTGACTTTCTACCAGAGGCATTTTAAAACAGAAACTCAAAAATGAGACGTGTCGTAGCTGTGATTTTTCTGTAAAAAACCCTTAAAGGTTATCTCCATGTTATGAAGGGCTACACAGAAATGAAACTGAATACCAGTGTGCATGTTTCATTAATCCATCCATTTTCTGTTTCTGTTCCATCCAATCCCTGGTTCAGGTTGTGGGTCAGCCTCTGAACAGAGAAGCCCAGACTTCCCTATCCCCATCTCCTCCATCTTATCAGTGGAGCACACTGCATTAATGAGCTGGAACGCAGAAATGTTCCCAGGCTAGCTGAAAGACTTAATCCCTCCAGCATGCCCTGGGTCTTCCCTGGGCCTCAGCCCGGTGGGACACAAAAATCTCACAAAAGAGGTGTCCAGGAGGCCCTTTGTCAGATGCCCAAACTACCTCAAATGGCTTATTTCAATGCAGAGGAGTAGCAGCTCAATCTGAGCCCATCTTGGATGACTGAACTTCTCACGCTATCTGTAAGGAAGAGCCAGCCACCTTTTGTAGAAAGCATATTTCTGCTGCTTGTATCTGAGATCACATTCTTTCAGGCACCCCCTAGAGTTTACAATGATAGGTGAGGGTAGTGATGTAGTGAACTTCTAAATTGACAGTTTTGCTTTTATATTCAGCTTTCTCTTTACCAGAACAGACAATTGCATCATCTGGATCATTGCAGCCACGGTCCAAATCCATCTGCCCATAATCCTCCAGCCGTCACTTGTTAAAAAGACCCTTTGATACTTACAGTCCTCCACTTGGTGAATATCTCCACCAGTGGAAACATAAATGTTAAACTATTAAAACGATACTCTTAAAGTAAAGACAAAAAGGGTTGGTGCCCTTTATTTATTCCAGTCACTTAATTAAGTCATTTAATCCATAAGAAGCAAAGAACACAAAGAACCAAACCGCTTATTTTGCCCGTTGGTCATTTTTGCTGGCAATTTTGAATAAAAGTCTTTAACCTAGCTCATCTGACTGTATTCATGTTTGGCAGTCACAATCAGTATGAATGTAGGAGTGCAATGTAGTCTGTGCAGTCCAGCGTATCACAATTACTAAATGGGGGAGGACCCTGTGGAGGACCCAGCAGCAGAGAAGCAGTTTAGAGTGAGAATTTGATCAAGGCGACAAGAGGCAGACCAACCGAGCGGTGGTGTATCAATCTCACAATTGGCAAACAGGTGAGAAGACACACCTCCCGCCATTCAGCAGAAAGGTAAGCCATGCTCTCTATCTCTCTCTCTCACACACAGGGAAAGGGAGGGAGGGACAGAGAGGCTGGGCACCAAAACTACGACACAGATCAGGAAATGATGCAGTATTTTGCAGCGAACGTTAAGTGACAAAGAGACTTGTGGAAGATCCAGATCCAAGCCAAGTACAAGAAATACTACTCAGTACGGTGAGTGTGGAGTTCTTTAAACTATATTTATTAATGCAAATATGCTAAACTGTTAGATGTGGACGTTTAATAATGTGCTTCACTTTTCATTCGTCAACAGGAACAATTATATTTTTCTGACTTCTGCTTTTAAATTTAGTTTCACTGATAGACAACAAATGTTCAAGTCATTCAATTGAATAACAGTTCACTTCATATAGAAACATTTCAGAAAAAAGGAAGAGAGGCAGGACAAAAGCCATGCTTTGGGAGAGAGAGCCAGAGTTTAGTAATTACTATTATTAAATGCAACAGTGTTGTATGAAATCAAGAATGACGTGTGAATGAAAAAGAAATGCTCAGTGCATCATGGGAAGCTCCTACCAGCCAGGAGAAGGTTTTAAATTAAGTTCTTTAAAATGTGATTTTAGATTTAACAGGGTGTGGCGACACGGCAGTGTGGTTTTTACCACTGGTGACTCACAACAAGAAGGTCATTAGTTTGACTCCACCATCTGGCCGTGTGTTGGGTGAACTGGTGATTCTAAATTGGCCGTAGGTGTAAATGTTTTTCTGTGTGAGCTCTGTGACAGACTAGCAGCCTGTCCAGGGCCAAACTGACCTCTTGCCCTATACTAGGATATGCTGCAGCCCAACTCTAACCCTGAATTGGATCAGTAGAGTAGTAGAGTGGATAGATGGGTGCACATGTAATCTGATGTGACTGACACTTGGATTTTACAAACAAGCAATTCTCACAGATGGCAGCACCACCTCGGCCAGAACTGTTCGACTTCCATGGAGTCCCCATGATCAACATTTTCACCGATGACTGGGACAACATACAGAACTTCAAAGCGAGACCAGATGATATTCTTATTGCTACGTACCCTAAAGCAGGTAATGATGTGTAAGAGCTCTGCAGTATTTTTTCACGAAGAAAAATAGATTGACATATCTTGCTAACCAGTATCTATTGATATGTTTGTTTGTTTTATCTCAGGAACTACATGGGTCTCTTACATCTTAGATCTTCTGTATTTTAGCGATATGGGTCCAGACCGTCAGACAACCATCCCTATTCATGAAAGAGTTCCCTTCCTGGAGTTCTGTGTACCTCCCATACCTTCAGGTTAAATCCTATTTTATGCTATCGTATTACACCAAAACAAAAAGCTCAAAGTCAATTTCATTTTGGCTATATACTTAATTAAACAAAAATATTAAAGGGCAGCCGTTATACCAATTCCCAGAAACTGTTGTGAAACAGGTTCAACCTGTTTGATCTATTATTGGATGTTTCTGTTTCACATGCTTAAGAAGCAGCTGCTAAAATAGCCCTTTATTCAGTGGCTTTCTAAAAGCCAGCAGTTTGTCAGTGTGCAAACATGTCAGGTTATTTAAAACATCTACATTTTTCAGGCCATTAGTATTATTGACATGTGGTCTAAAAGAACCTTTTAATCAGTTGCAAACAAACCCTTTCTTATCATTCAGGCACAGACTTGGCAGAACAACTTCCCACCACTCCTCGTCTCATTAAAACCCACCTTCCTGTCCAGTTTGTACCAAAGTCTTTCTGGGAGCAGGACTGCAGGGTAAAGGTCATGAACTTATGCATATACATTAATGAAACCCACAGATTAGAATTTAGTGTTGTGTCTTTCTGTAGATAATCTATGTGGCCCGTAATGCAAAGGACAACGCGGTGTCCTATTTTCACTTTGACCGGATGAACAGCCTTCAGCCAGAACCAGGAGACTGGAGCACCTTTCTACAGGGATTCATGGAGGGAAACAGTGAGTCCAGTGTAGTTTCAGGTTCCAGGAAAAACAATGTCATCTCATTTTGTGTGTAAAAATTCCTCTGTGTATTGTTTTGTGGCTACAGGGGCTTTTGGATCGTGGTATGACCATGTGAATGGCTGGTGGGAAAAGAAGCAGACTTATTCAAATCTCCTCTACATGTTCTATGAAGATTTGATTGAGGTACTGTGGCTTGTGCTAATGTCTTTGCCATTGTCAGCTGAGCTCTTTAAAACTGTCTTGATTGTGACTTTAACAAACAAAGATCCACAGGAACATCTCATTTTTATCAGCCTATACATGGCTAAAGCTATAACGGTTAACTAAAAGATTTTCCTTCTTGGATGCAGGAAAAAAGAGAGCAGCTTGCCAGGGCCTGTCTCTGCAGATGATGAAGGAAATAGTGTCACACACAACATTTCTGTAAAGCCATGGCCAAAGGTTTTGCTGCTATTCAACAAAGAAAACAACATTTGCCTTAAATTACAATTAATTCCGACTAGGTGTCCAGATATACCCAGTTTTAAATGGGTATTTTACTTTTCTTTTTTTTTAAAAAGCAGTGTGCTGTGCAAGTGATAAAGATGTCTTTGAGTATGTTTATACTATACTCTATAATCAGGTTGTTTGCATGGAACAAAAGAACAAGTATCAGTAAATGCCCAAAATATCAAAATTACAGCTTTTCTTTGAGTGGAGACTGAACATGGTCATGCGTCAAACTTATAAAAGCTGTAGAAAAGAAAAATCTGTTTGACCGATCACTACATCAGTCTTTGTCGTGTGTTGTTCCAAGTAGGTTTCTAGACCTAAATGCAGACTTGTGACACAATTACAGTGCGAAAAGCAAACCTTTATTATCAGGACCATGACCATATTTCTCAAGTAACTTTTTTGAAAAATGCAAGTAAGCTTATTTTCCCCAAGACACTAATGCTGTCGAATACTAGTTTACACAGGGCAGATATCATATACATATACAGATGTCATATGCTGTAAATAGGAATGGGCAGTGGTAAGAGTTTAGTGATTTAATTCCATTATGGACATCGCATATCGATTTGATTCGTTATCGACTCTCACTGGCTCCCCTTTAAGAGTCACCACCATTTCTAAGCAGCACAGCAAAGAGATCACATTCATGCAAATTAAATACATGCTGAGTGATCAAATGTTTGAACACGGTTGAGGTATCTCGCCTCTTTGTTGTGATCTTTGGGGTCATTGGTGCCCATATCACACAGAACTCTTTTCTTTAAATGAATGCAGCACCTTACTTATTTCCTCCCAGCACAAAGACATTTGTTATACTACACGTTACTCCTTTTACTCTGTAAAGGCTCCACACACCAACACACTCCCCTATACTAATGAGGACACATGGGATCTTTCTCTTAGTGTTTAGGTATGAACACAAATGAAAGGACAAAACAGGATAAAAAGACTTAAAAGTGCAATAAATGTGTTATAAAAATAAAAGCAACGGTCAAAGCCACGCTGTTGATTGTGCCACTATTTTTCTCTTCAGTCAAACAAACTGAAATCAGCTGGTTGTAGTGAGAGAACTGATTAACGGGATTAATAGCCAGGCAGACTAACAATTCCAAGTAATCGGACTGCTGAGAGCTCTACATTCCCATCTATAATTATAAATCAGTTACTGTACCAGTTACCTGTACCAGATTTTATTTCAGTTGTACCTTGAGCACCAATGAAATTTAATTCCATTGTAATTGGGAGAAGTTGGACATTTTTAAATATCTCCAAAAGGCCTAACAACACCAGATCAATCTAGACAGATAAGAGAGGATACATTTGATTTTGGGTTGAAATGTTCCTTTAAAGGTGATAATTATTTTCAATATTTATGTGAACAGGACTCGGGACGAGAAATAGAGCGACTGTGTTCCTTCCTTGGTTTGTCTCCTTCTGCTGAGGAGAAGGAAAGAGTCCGAGTCAGTGTGACGTTTGATAATATGAAACAGAACAACATGACCAACTACAGCACAATTCCTCTGTTGAACCAGACCGTGTCTCCGTTCATGAGAAAAGGTAAAGTCAATGCTCAGCATCGCTTTTTTTCAGTACCAATATTTTCTCCATATATAATCAGGTTGATTGGTTACTCTGAACATTTTGTCTCCAGGGAAAGTTGGTGACTGGAAGAACCACTTCACTGTGTTGCAGAACGAACAGTTTGATGAGGACTACGAGCACAAAATGAAGAATCCTGCTCTCAAGTTTCGTTTTGAAATTTAGATGCCCAGCGTGACTCTATGGAGCTGTGAAGTGATGAAAACGTTAACATAACATTTCAAGATTCATCTGCACATCTTACGTAAAATTACAAAGAAACAAAACTTAGAGTAATGTACTGTCAAAATGATGCGTCTGCTAAGACTGACTTTGAATCTTTGACTTTACGACTTGTTTTTTGATTGATGTTGGTAATATGTCTTTAATGTTATGCCAGTCAATAACTCTATTTAATCTATTGTGCAACAAAATAATATAAACATAGACTATTCACCTTTTTTTTCTCATCTTTAGCAGTGAAGTTGAATGGATTGACTTAACCTGGCCGTCTCCCTACTTTAGTTTTTCAATTGAGAGGTACAGTTTCGGGTGATTTTAAAAAGAGCTGTGCTTAAAGTTTTATAAACATGTTTGTTGTCTCATTCTGAGGGACTATTGGTTCTAAAAGAAAGTGTGGAGCATTATTAAAATCACTACACATGATTCCACCACCACCAACCTGAGTAGTCCCAGTGAACACACTGGCTACCACCAGGAAACCATACAGATGACATCAGACCAGGGTTAAGATCACTAACATAATATCTAAACCGGACACTAAAAAAAAAAAACATGAAAAAGTAGTAACAGTTAAACAGTAGCAGATAATAATCAGCATATGACAAACACATGGATCCCCACAGTTCACAGCTGCAGGTTAGGATTCCTGAGGAAGATCTCTAAAGAAAACATCCAGACCCCCAAGGTATCAGTTCAACTCAGCTGCAGTGACTCATCTAGGTGACAGTACAATTACTGCGTATCATCAGACATGGTAAAGGTCCGCCACACCTGGTGCACAGCCTTTTGTTACCTGAGCACCTCCCACTAATACACCCACTGTTCTCAGTACTACTGATACTCCTGGGGACATGGGAAGTCCCAGACACTACATATTAATAATAAAACATTTC